GAAGGATTTTCAGGAGGGTGTTGGAGATAGTACATGAGGATGAGGATGGGGTGGGGGGTGTACTGTCTGAGGGTGAGGGTGATGTGGGGGATGGGGAAGAGAGTATTGATGAGGGGGAGGAGGATGGAGGTGAGGAAGGGGTGTGATGGTGATAGGGGACACAGTGTAGGTAGGTTGTGTTGAAGGTAGGGCGTGTATGGGGGATAGACGGTGATGGCTTATGACACAGAATTGTTTTGAATTCCTTGGTCATGTTTGGGGGGGGGGGTACTCAACACGACACGGCATGATATGATACCACACAGGCTCGCAGTTGCTACTTTACCTATAGCATCCTGTACTATACATATACAATTTTACAACCTATTTAAATACTTCCTCACCCATAAATAATGATATTCATATTCACTACTCTCCCCTCTCGCCCCCACACACACCCCAAGCATCCGCCATTGCCCCCCCCCTCAATCCCACAAGCATAACCTCACACTTGACAAACCAACCACTAAACTCCACGACTAATCACGAAATATCACTCGTCTCACTTAATACTGTTCATAGCTCCAGCTCCAAGCACCGGCCGACCAATGCCAACTAGTCCCCTCAACTCCAGCAATAGTCGTCAGCGCATCAGCGAGAATCCCATCACCACCCATTCAACAACTCAACAACTCAACAACCAACCAACCAGCCAGCCAGCCAGCCAGCAGCCAGCCGACCAGCCATCGAAATATCCAACGATAGTTTGGCACTAGACTTGACACTGTATCGTAGTTTCGTCCCGTTTCCCTGGCCGGAGGGGCGATTCGAGTTCTTCTCATCTCTTCGTATGATAATATGGTGTGCACATGTCGGTAGAATTTTTATTTTTATTTTTATTTCTCCCATTCCCATTCCCGTTTTTGCGAGCGCCGGTATAATTCTCGGGATTTATCGTTGGGTTTTTCATGATATAATATCATAATTATCATCATACATTGTTCACGTTCGTTCGTTAGTTCGTTGTGGGAGGGAAGAGGGGTTTTTTTGTTCCTTCCATGTTTCCGTCAACGTTATCTCGCTCGGGTAGGGATTCGGAAGAGGGCGTTTGGTGTGGATGGAATGGTAATATAGGTGTGATGAAAATTATGGTAATAGGTGGGTCAAAGTCTCGCTTCCCTGGTATGTTTTGTTTTGTTGTGGGGGGAAGGATGGAATTGGAGAGGTTTTTCATGGCTGTGTTAAAGTTTACAGGACTCGGGTTTTTATTTTACGAGGGAAAGGATTGGAATGGACAGGTTTGTAGCATTTTTCCCCCCTTTTACCGTGTGTGGTTTGGCGGCGGTGGTGGGGGGTGGTTCGGTGCCTGTTCTTTGCTGGTTTTCTTGGGTGGGGGTTTTTTTTTTTTTGGAGAGGTACCGGTACTGAATTAACGGTTTGTAGTGGCAGGTAGTGTCTTGGCACTGATCAGAGGTTTTTTTTTTTTTCGGGGGTGGAGGGCGTTTGTTAGGCTCGCAGTCCACTCGAGCTCTCGTGAAGTGCGAGTGCGGTTACAGTGCGGTCCCACCAAATATCGCCATTCCCATTAACTTTACCCGTAACTCGCAGGTACGAGTATCATACCGGTATGATAACGCCTCTTACCCACCCACAAAAAAAAATAAAAATAAAAAAAAAACCTCCCAACCCTTGCAACCCAACCCCTGCAACCAACCCCAATCACTCAGTCCCCCCGCATCTCCCCTCCCAATCCATCCACAACCCCATCCATCGCTAACCCGCCACAGCCACAATTCACGAGTGACAGTTCATGAATGTCTCTACTATCTAGTAGCCAGATATTAGTACCAGTACCAAACACACAAGTACCGGTACCGGCAGTGGTGGTAGTGGGTGCTGTGGCGCACTAGTGGGTAAAGTCTACCGTTGAGACCTAGCGTCGCTGCCGCGGCGGACACGGACGGGTGGAAGGCCGGGAGGAGGTCGATAACGGTCGGGTGTTGGGCGGTGGCTCCCGTACGGCACTGCGTATGGTACGTGCACTGGTATGCGGGGGGGGGAAGGGGAGGATAGATAAGGATTGAATAATTCCTTTAGTGGCAGGTATACTATGCGAGGGAGGGGAGAGAGAAGGCTTATATTTCCACTTTTGACTCTGATAAGAGAGTGATGGTAGGTAGGTGGGGGAACCGGGAGATCAGCCGTGCAGGCAAAGTGAGAATACTACAAGTATATATATTTCTATTATCGTAAAAAAAGCAAGTATCCCCGTCTCTTTTTACATTTTATTCCAAACCACTCTTTGATGTTTCTTTTTAATTTTTTTTCTGAGGGTAAGGGAGGTGTTGGGTGAAGTGAGAGGTGGTGAGTGAGTGAGAGCGGGTGATAAGGAGATAAGCGGAAGGAAAAGGGGAGGGATTCCTGGATAAGACAAAATTTATGATAAGAGAAAAGAAAAGAGAGACAAAAAACGCTACAACCCATTCCCCTTGTCCGAATTTGTCCTAGTGTTCGCCAGACTATCATATGATATTTGATGGAGTATCATACTAGCGAGCAACCACCGCCCCGGAGGTGGAGATGTCACACTTGACCTGAATCAAAAACGCTGACTCATTCGCACTACCCTATCCTGTTCGGCACCCTACCGGCTGGCCCGTTCCGTGTCGCGGTTCCTCGTTCCTTCAAGCAGAAAGTTACAATTCCCCTCCTGGCAGACAAACGGAAAAGTAGGTAGGAAAGCAAGGAAACGATAAAGGAAAAACTAAAAAAAAAAAAATCCATACAATCCCAAGAAAGAGAGGAGAGGAAGAGGAAAAAAAGAATCAAAAAAAAATCACTTCTCTGACTCCGTCTTTTCCCGGGCCACCGCCTTGGCCTTCTCTTTCTTATTCCCGAGATAAGCCGCCAACGACCCCATAATATCGGAACTAACCACCAACCCGGTTGTTACCGTCGCCTTTGCCTTGGGGATGACGCCGTCAGTGCTCCCACTCTTACTGCACTCATCCTCGTAAACCTTAAACACGTATTCCCTTCCTTCCTTGGCAAAGTCGGCGCCACGCAGGTAAACTTCGCCAACAAGTTTCTTCGGGTAGCCTACAGCCCCGGCGACAACGCTCTTGATCTCGTCCGTCGGTTCCTTGAGAATGGGGAAGTAGCTGTCTATCTTGCCGAGGTTTGAGTCGGCAAATTCATCGGCGCGAGAAACGTAGGGGGCAGCACGGGAGAGGTAGGGTGTTATTGGGGCCAGGAAGGTGCTGTAGCAGGATTGCGAGAGGGAGATGCTGCGTTGGCCTAGAGGGTGGTTTTCAAAGACGCTGATGGAGTCGTTGACTATTGGATAGGATTTTAGGTGCGAAAGGGACTTGTAAGATGAAGGCGAGGCCGGGTCGGATTGGGCGGAGGTGGATCCGTTCGCCTTTGAGGCACCATTTAGTTCCTCAGCGTGGGGCATTGTGCTGCTTGCCTACGAGTACTTGTTAGTCGCTTGTGCTCAGAGAGTAAGTGAGAGGAGAAAGAGAGCTTACGATAAGCTTGGGAACAGTAGACTATATGTACTCGGATTAGAGCACGAGGGACAAGAGAGGAGTTAGTGTGGGGTAGTCTAGTAGTATGCTGAGCGATGACAGAAAAACGCAGAGGAAGGAAGAATAGAAAAAAGGAGAGGAGGAGGGGGGGAATAGGAGGAGGAGGAGGAGGAGGAGAAGGGGAAGGGGGTGTGCCGGAATCGTACCTGTATTTGTATCCCAAGGATGCATCCACCCAACCACCCCTCTCGAGCACTCGAGTATTGTACTAGTACTGGAGTACGAGTACGGTAGCCTTAGGAAAAAGGAAAAAAACCGTTGCTTTACTGACACGTGAAAGCTACCATCGCTCTTCACTATGACAACGTGCACGGTCACTGTAAATTATGAGTACTCGAGTATGAGGCACAAGTACTGTACTCTTACCGGTATCATACTCGAGTGCAAGTACAGTACTGCAGACAGTGTCTTATTCAAGCCCCCCAACGAGGGGTCCTTGCCAACCATGCCCATTCCCATTCCCATACTCGTACACACACATGCGCAGCCAGCAAGCCTACCGGTACCGTACCCTACTCGATTACTTTTACGAGTACAAGTGTTATCGCAACCAGCACTTCTATAATCAGTCATAGACGCCTGTGAAGGATGGCACTTCCGGGCCACAGTACCTTACTACGATCGTTGCATAGGTAATATCTTTCATATCAGTATAACATTACCATATCTATCTTCAGAAGATATCTACCCTGCCCGTTATCGCATCACATCGTGACAATGCCATGCCATATCATCATCCCTGGACTTGTCCACTACTCGAGTACCGGTATGCGAACTCCTTCTCCTCACTTTTTCTCCGGCATTCAAGTGCGTGCTTGCCATGCCGCTAGGGGGGGAAGTACGAGTAGAGAAATGGGGGGGGAGGAAAAAAAGAAAAGAAAGAAACATTCCTCAATGTCATACAAGTATTTTAAACTAACGCATGTGAAAAATTTCACAAGGGATCGACCCCTCGCTAGCTTTGTCAATGCCAAACAGTCGGTTCGTCCCATACTTACTCGAGTACGGTACCCGCCGTGCCCGCCAGTATTACAGTACCATACCTAAGGCTGTGAATACCGGTACCGGTAGACCACAAAAATCTCTTTTGGAGCGCTGTGCGTGAAGATGACTTCCTTTCTGGAGGAAGTGGGAGATTGATTCTTGGTGCCGGCGCAGTCCGAGTGCTCTGCGGCTCTGGGGGGTGTGGTACTGTATGGGTATGATAATTGATTGGTGGTGAAGGGCGGGGAGGGGATGAAGAGGTAAAAAAAAAAAAAAACCGAGGGGAAAAGGGAAAAAGCACATTTCACGTTTTCGAGAGTTGGTGGATGGGTACCAGTACCTGGTTAGCCTAGATATTTAATTACAGCAACCTGCAAGTGTTGCTGCTACCTTATGATAGCTACCTATGTAACTTTGCCTTCATGATTCGTTTCCTCTACCGGTGGGCTTTTTTCTCCCTCACATGCTCCGGAGAACGATAGTCTACGAGAAACTACGGTATGGAACTTTCCGCATGCGGTGTATCTCGAGTACTTGTATGTATAACCTTTGTCATCTTGCGGGACTTGTAACTATTGTTTATGATATCAACCAAGAGGAATGGCAGGTCCGCCACAGGAAAAGGCACTTGATAATGGGGATCGAGAGGTAATCACAGTTGGATTACCATAGAAGGTGGGCGATACCATCATCGGCGATGCCATGCGCACTCGATTTCCGATACGGCGCTCGAGCACAGTACCGGTACCTTGCTGTGGCAGTGTGAAGAAACGGGAGTGAAGGGGCCCCCGTTTTATGGTAAAAAGAAAAGCTTGGAGGAATTTTCTCCTCCTCCTGCTTCCCCTTTCATCTCCCCTCCCCTGGCCGGTGGGCTGGCCGACTCGCTTGTGCTTTGTGAAAAGGCTTTCATTGGGGGTTTGAAGAAGGGGGAAGATGGCGCTATGATACATACCCTACCTTGCCACCACCGTGCATCCCAATATTCCCTGGAAAGCTTCCTCCCGAGATTGGTAGGCTACTGTACTCGTACAGTATGGTAAATCTAGATATCTGCGTTCGAGAAAAACATACGAAATACGGTATTTCCAAGCCAAGATCAGAGTCACGGCGCCCCACCGTGAGGGGAAGGTTAAAAGTTGGAAGTTGGAACTCTTGGGAGCAGAAAACTACTTCACGGCAAGGAGTTTGTGTCATTGGGTTAGACTATTCCTTACTTTTCTCCGGCGTCGCCTCGGTCATGGCTGCCATGACTTCTGACTTCGGACTTCTTCTAACTTTTGGTTGTGCGCCGGGCGCGCTGTTGCTCGAGATACTCTATCAAGACGTGCATACAATGCGATACCGGTATCCTACGAACCCTGTCCGATACTGTATGTCCAGGCAGGGCAGAAGTACCGGTACTCGGAAACAAAGATTAGCCAGAGATAACAGTACTCGGGTAAAGGGTCTGTGCGTATCAAAATGCCAGTATCATAGACTCCAAAATATACCCCCCGCTTCCGGCTCCCATACTCGTGGCGGACAAGAAGTGCCACTCGTATTTGAAGGCTACTGGGGGCAAGGAAGAGAGAGCACTTTGGCCCTGGACGGGCGCCATTGTGCATCGCCCCGGATCAATTCTTGCGCGCACCGGCACCGGTAGACTACTCTCAACACGAACTTGACGGGCACAATAATCGCACCGCTTCCGCAGGAAGTACGGTAACGTAGCAACAACGGTAGCAACAACGGAAAAAAGCCCAGGCGGAACGGGGGGAGGGGTGGGGAGCTGTTTGGAGAAACCCGTGCTGTGAAAATGTTCGCCTTAGATATGATATCATACAGGAGAGCCTTACGATGAAGGCATCAGCTGGGAAAACGTAGGTCTGATCATGTGTCGGGCCACGATAGGTGTTGAGATGGGATTGGTGATTGAGAGGTTGTTTGGGGGGGGCTTATCACACCGGGCTGTGGTGGTGTTTGGTGTGTCAGGGTGGTGCATATGGGGCGTTTGGTGCGAGTATATGTTACTCTGATGGAAGTGAAAATCGAACAAGGCAGGGATAATAACAAGGAAACCTCGGGAATCGTGTACTCGAGTACGAGTACTCGGAAGTGACATGTTGGAAAACGACAGGGGGGGTTTCAAAGAGGTTGGGGTGTCGGAGTATGATGCATCTTAATCGTTGTGGAAGTCATCCATTATATAGAAAAAAAGAGACTTTTCAAAAGTTCCAAATCCCCGGTAGCCCAATTTCCCTATGCCAAAGTACCAATTTGCCCTCCGCACACATTTGGACATTAACTTATAGACTTGGATATAGAAAGTAAAGGGAAGAATCATGAGTCCCATACTGCACCTGCCAAGTCTTGACCTGGGCAGTCAATATACTTGGATACCCCGACTTACCGATCATTTCCGGCCAGCTCAGTAGCGTACTCCGGGCCACTTTGGAGAGACCCGATTTTTGCTTTCCACCCGGAGCACACAGTATGGCCCGATATTATATAATAGCACGTATCGTATACCCACGGAGAGCGAGAGAGAAGAATGAGGTAGAGAGGGGCTTCGACCAACCCGACTCGACGTAGTTACGACCAACTTCCGATGACGAAATTGGTCCCCCGGCGCAGTCCCTAAATAGCTTTATCTGACAATAAACGCCTAAGGATAAAGCGATCCATTACAACAGTGCATCTTAAACAGTCATTGAGACTAGTGATTGTATCAAGTTGGACTATATATCATATTTCCAAACTCCTCCCTCCCACTACAATCAACACGACATCCACCCATCATCACCCAGCACCCAGGAACAAGGTTAAGCATAAGTTAACCTGTCACCTTTCGCGTCGGCGCTGGCTGACGATACCGGTATGGTGTGTGTAGCGGGCGTATCGCGGTGTGGGGTGTTGACTTGGTCATGTAATACTCGAGTATTGCAGTAGAAGAAGGGATAGGAGGACCCTGTGAGCAACGTAGAGGAGAGCCAAGGAGATGAGATGATATGGGATGGGAGAGGGGGAAGCTTGCTTGCTTACCGTACAGTACTTGCATACCGGTATTGTGATATCAGGGGAGGTAAGTTGTCCACACCTCGATAGAGTACACCAATCGACTCAGGATCCGTCAAGTCAGTCTAATCCTTCAGTCAAGAAAGAGTCTGTGTCGGGTGGGACTGCCGGTACTAGAGTATTAGTTACCCTCTTCCTCTTTACAAGTGCCAGTACGAACTGCCCGTCAATTGTGCATTCGCGATCCACTTACGGCACGCCGCAGGAGTATTGCTACGGCATCGTCCTTGCGGAGCACCTAAATTACCAATCCTGCATTATCATAGCTGGGGTCCCGTTCTTAGGGATGTTATGGTGACAACACCCTCGGGCTGGTTTATGACGTGCGGAGGATCTTGGATCTTGGGGGGGTTGTTAAAAGGAGGATGGCACGGTATACTGGTCTGTACTCTAATGATCAGATCGATCTTGCGGGTTGCGTTCGTTTGAATTTACGATTCAGTTCAATACGAGTACAATATTTCCCCACTTGTTCGCCGCTGGTGGAGTTTGTGATATTACCACGCACTTGTGTAAGTGTGTGTGTGGGGGGGGGGTGTCGGTACGGTAATTGCTGAGGGCGGCGTGCATTCGATGCTACATCGAATGTATGGGGC